TGTGTGTGTGTGTGTGTGTGTGTGTGTGTGTGTGTGTGTGTGTGTGTGTGATGGCACAGATTGTGTTGTAAAATGCTTTGAGTACCCTGATTGGATAGAAAGGCTTTATATAAGTATGGTCAATTTACTATTTACAAATATGTACAATTTTCAATTCAGCAATATTAATAAAATGAGTCTGGATTAAAAAAACAGAAAAGAAAGCTTAACTTGTTTGACAATGATCACCAGAGGATAAATAAAAGTCAGTGTTTTACAGCCATTACTTCCTGTGGGTTTTACTGGGGGGCATGTTGCAGTAAATATCCTCTGCTTCTGCTGTGAAGTTTTCATATTCTGGTTCTCCTTCATCTTCAGCTCCAAAACGATAATCAGCACTATGCTCTTTGGACGTTTTCTGCTTTGACAGCATTTTGAGATGATCTCCATTTACATAAATCTAAAAAAGCAAAAGAATACAAATCACGCAATAACATTAGTTGTTATAGACACCATTTAAAATGATCTGATTTTTAAATATAAAATATAAAATTATTTTTGCCACAAAGAGCTCCAATATKTTTGGTCATTAATTTGCTTTAGAAAAAAAAAGCTGCTTGACATTTTCTACATTTTATTTCAACATTTYATGTCAGTCTTCTCTGTTCTGATCTTTTAGTTAAGACAACTTCAGGTTAGAATTTTACTGCCCACTGTCTAAGTTCCCTTTTCTGGACCATTTTACTTCCTCCAAGAAGTTCTTGTTTTCACATGTCACTTGTTTGTTCAGTCATGTCAGTGTGGAGGAACTGTTCTACCTAAATAAATCACAAGTGGTTGGAAAGTAGCAGAAACATCTGCTGATTTTATCAGTAAAAGAGGGCCGGTGGCCTTGAAATCAGATTACTTCACTGTGGTTGAAACAATCCTCAACAGACATCCTCTCCGTAAGCCCCTRCAATAAAACATCAGACCTGTTGATATTACCAGACAATCAACATTTCTCAGCTCCAAACCTCCCAGCTCTGTTTTATCAACAGCTATAAAGTTCTCTTTTTTATTTTCCTCACTCCCCCTACTAAATTTGTTTATTATAATAGCAGGACTGTYGCCTTCCAGCTGGTCCTATTGCAAGAGGTTAATGATTTTCACAGTAGTGAATTTCACAAGTTTCCCCATTAAAAACATTTCATTCAGGTGAGCACTTAATCAGTACTTCAACAAGTAGAATGAGTTGTTGCTTGTGTTGGAAAACAACAGATAATGGCCATAATGCATGTAGAGAAGCTGATTTCGGATAAATTAATTGGAGGTACACTTCGCTGCAGCATGCAGAATGGGGCGGGGACGGACCTTTCCATCAGTCCCATACCTTATATGAAAATGGGACTATTGCATTC